ATTCACATATGAAGGAGGCATTGGATGCGTGGGTTGCTGCTGGTGGTAGTGAGAGGAGAGTGAAGATTGTCGAGGATATGGTTGATACGCATGATGGGATGTGGATTAATGGGAAGGAGGTTGCGGGTGTTATTGCGGTTGGTATTAGGGAGCTGCAGGACATGCGTGTCTAGCTTATTTTATCTTATCCAGTGATATATATACAGTCTAAAGCGGAGAGATGCAAGAAATGGATGAAAATGCAAGGGTATATTGCGAACAATGCAAAGAAAGATGGCCTACATGAAGAAGACGCTTCGACCGGGAGAGAGCATCATCAGCTCGCTCCATGACCATGAATGCGGATGCGATTGAAACTGAGACTGCGACTGAAGCTGTCCGAGATGCTCCCACAGGGCAAGTAGGAAGTTCCGCAAGCCACAAATGCTAAGTGTACCCAGGGATCGACAGAGGCGCCGCAAGACTGACTCGAGCAAGGATCTGAACTCGGCTGCCTCATTGTCCGTGTCCAGGGCCGCTTCGACGCCAGCCACGAACATAGGCCAGAGCAAGACTTTGACAAAGGACTGTCGAGGATCGGTGACGGTGACTAGGACTTCCCGCAGCTTGTCAAAGAGTATCTGCTTCGCCACGGACAGGATATCAGACGTAGACACGTATGAAGTGGAGGGAGAGGAAGAGAAAGAGGAAGAAGCGGAAGTAGTTGTGGCAGGACAAGGGACGGAGACGTGAAGCAGTTCGTCTGCGTCGAGGAGATGACCCAGGCTTCGGACGCAGTATATGGCAGTTGCAGCATGGTAGATGCTTGCTATGCGTACCCAGTCTGCCCTCTCGGGACGCAGGTAGGCCTTCTTGGGATCCGACTTGCTACATCCTACGGGGTGGTGACCCGACTGGTCGTGCATGGCATCCGCCCATGAGGCAATGGGGAAGGACAGTATATTCTGCAGCAGAGCATGGACTGACGCCTTTAAGCTGTTGTTGTTACTGTTGCTGTTGCTGCTTGCGGTGCTGCCGGGGGAGCCGTCTTCCTGGTCCTGTACGAGCTCTACTATGCCTGACTGTGACTGTGACTGGGACTGCGACTCTGCCACAGCTCTGAGGTGGTTTATCTGGATGATGGCATCAAACAGCTCGTTGGGACAGGGAACGCAGGTGCCCGAGCCGTTCTGGTAGACTTCCGGTATGATCTCGGAGTACTCCAGCTGTCTCCTTGCATCGAGCATGGGGAGAGACGAGGATATAGTAGTGTAGGTCATCACATCCGCTCTACCTCTACTTAGTAGTCTTCTTGGGTATATATTTATAAGTAGGTAGTAGACTTACATCATGAAGTAAGTGAGTAGACCGTTGAGGGCAGCGCTGTGACGGGCGACGGTCTTGACACCACCACGCATGCGGATGATATGACATGCACCCTCAAAGTGCGTCTGCCACGACCCAACCGCCGACAGCTGCGTCTATCTTTATATTAGCAGTATTCATGCATGTAAAGGGTACAGGTATATGTCTACCTCTGCGAGGAAAAGGGTCAAGACGCCTATGAGGGTGACGTCCGAGATGCGAGTGGCCGGGTCAGCGAGGTTCTTGTTCAGCCGCCGCAGGGTGTGCGACTTGGACCTGTAGACCGAGCGGCCGACCTCTACCTGGTCGTCTGGCTGCGTGCGAATGGCCTTGTGCGTGTCAACGGCGCAGATGAGGATGTGCCAGAGGATGGAGGCCAGGTCGTCCTGCCAGGCCGTGGGATCCTCTGAGGCCGAGAGCTCGAGATGGTTGATCGGATCCAGATCAGGCGCCAGCTCGTGTTCATCTACACATTCAGCATACATCTATACCTATACATCTATACCTTTATACATGTATGTATGTATATAAGTGTGTATATGGCGACTTACAGTACCAAATAGTGCGGACGACCTTCTGTATCTCTGCCGGGTAGGTAAACATCATGGACTCTGGTATGCGGCTGGCCACGACGGCCATGGGGCTGCCATCCCGAGAGGAAGCAGTAGAAACAGCGCCATCACTAGAAGCAGAAGTAGTAGAAGTAGAAGTAGTAGTAGTAGAAGGCGTCTCGTCTACTATCAGGCGAGGCCGCCCCTTTTTCCGCCTGGGCTTGTCCTTGTCCTGCTGGAGGAAGAGGTTCTGGTTGCCGCCGCCCGCTAGCCAGACCAGCGGCTTCTGCGCGCCGTAGCCCAGGCACTCGAGGCCCCTGTCGCGGCACTTCTGGCACGCCGGCAGCGCAGCGTCACAGCGTACTCGCCGCTTGCGACAGGTGTGGCACTGCATATCAATACTGGTAGTAGAGTGGAAGTTGGTAGTGGTAGTGGTAGTGGTAGTGGTTGGTTATGCAGAGTGGTATCTGATATGAGTGCAAGATAATTGATAGACAAGACGCCCTGGCTCTGACTGTGGACTTTCTGACTACGTCGCTGGCCGTGGCTGTGCTTGGCTCGTATCTGACTCTTTGCTTACCATAGAAGAGACTCTACTGTCTGTTGTCTACTATTGCTGTCTGCTGTGCTGTGCTGTTATTGCTGTGTTATTCCTGCTGTCTTCTTAGCTTACTTTAGCAGACTCGCAAGGTCCTCGGTCAGCCGCGATATAAGAAAGACGAGCCTGGCTGTTTCTCTCCTGCTTCTTCTTCTCCTTTTATATCTTCTATATCTCCATCTTCATCTTCTTCTCTATGATCAACATTGCTACTAATAACTAGTTACTGGCTACTGGCTGCCTTCGTCCTGGCGGTCAAGGCCGCCCTTCAACTTCCTCTTCTCCGTGTCTTCTGTTGACTAGTCACTTCACTACTTATGCATGCACGCACATCAAAGGATGCACCTTGCACGAACTACTCAGCTGCTTAGATACGGAGATGGCTTGCATCGTGGACTCTGGTGCTGCCAACAGAGTCACTTTCCTCACTTTCACTACTTTCACCAGCTGGAGCCGACGAGGCGAGCCGAACGACGGAGCAAACCAGCTAGAGAGAGAGAAGTCTCTGCTTAGCTCGTCTTCTAGCTGGTTCTGCGTCATCGTTCGCTGCTGGGATTTTCTCCAGCCCAAGCCGGATCTTCCCGTCAAAAGCTACGCCTCTTCTTATTCTTATTCTTCTTCTTACTATTATTCGTACTCTTTGTCTTCTGCTTCTTCCATCTCGCCGAAGAAGTACGTGATCAAAGAAGCGATTTGCAGGGGCAAAAAAGACAAAAATAAAAAAGAGCCGAGATATAAAGTCAGCTCCAGCTCCAGCTCAGCTCAGCCCAGCTCGGATCTTCTTCTTATTCTTCTTATCCTCACACTTACGGAGTAGTTAGTTACTCTTGATACTCCGTTTCTTCTGTTCTGTTTCTATTCTCTACTCTATCAGGTTATTACTCTGCTTCGATAAAATGGCCTGTGGATCCAAGGCCGGATGCTGTTCTGGCGACAAGAAGCCCCAGGACAAGCCCGTGGACAAGGACAAGGATACGGAAACGGCCTTTTCTTCCTCCTGTTCGCCGGCTGAAGTCGGTGCTGAGACTAAAGTCGTTGCTCGTCTGCCTGCCAAAGATGCTGCCTGTTGTGACCCGGAGGGCGACGAACGTTGCGACGGTTGGTAGTTCAACATGTCAAACCGCTTGTGTGACGTTACAGCGGAATATCTTGCTGACTGACTGACTGTAGAGACGTGCATCGAGTCGTTGGCTGCTTATGAGTGTCAGAAAGCCTGCGACGATGCTCACGGAGCTGTTGGTACAGACTCCTGCTTCTTATACCAACTTGTAGTACTATTATATGCTTATACTGATGATAACGTTAGAAATCGAACATGTCCATGAGCATGGAGACGACGGGAAGCATGGGGCCGTGGCCTGCAGCAGCCATCTCCGTCTCGCCTTGAGCGCTTCAGCTCCTATCTCGAGACGGCCCAGTGCATCTGCCGCAGTGTCATTGCCAACCACAGCCTCACTCCTTGCTGTGCCGGCCAGCCTGCCTCTTCTGCTCCAAAGGGTCATCATGAACATGAACATCATGAAAAGTTTGGCGAGCTGGATGAGAGCTCAAGCTGCTGCTCTGGCGGCCACGACCATGATGATCACCATGATAACGATGGACATGACCATGGCCACGGCCACGACAACACTGGAAACGGCATCATAAAGGGAGACACCGTTGACCTGGAAAAGTCCGCTGGCCACGAACATGTCCTCCTCTCAGTCACCGGCATGACCTGTTCCGGATGCGGCAACAAGCTCTCCAAGGCCCTTCAGGAGACGCCCGCAGTCTTCAACGTCAAGGTCAACTTCGTCCTCGGTAACGCAGAGTTCGATCTCGACACAACTCAATTGTCCGTTGAGTCTCTCATCGAAAGACTGGATAAAGTCACTGGTTTCCGCTGCGTCAAGTCCTCTTCCTCCAACGACGACCACCATGTTGATCTACTCGTTCCAGCCGGCACTGCACCCACAGTCACCGCTGAGACTCTGCCCGCTGGAGTCATCCAGGTTGATACCCTCGATGCAAAGACCGTCCGTATAGCTTTTGATCCGCTGGCTATCGGGCCCAGAGACATCATCCAGGCCATGGGAGAACGTACCACGGGACTCACGCCAATCAACCACAAGGATCCCTCTGCAGCCGCGGGCCGGAAACGGCTCTACTCGATGCTATACAAGACTACCTACGCTGCCGTGCTTACCATTCCAGTCCTCGTGCTAGCATGGGGCCATACCCTGACTTCCATGCGAACCAAGGCTATCGTCTCGCTTGTTCTAGCCACCGGAGTGCAGGTGCTAGCCATACCTGAGTTCTACAAGCCGGCCATCACCTCTCTCATCTACAGCCGCGTAGTCGAGATGGACATGCTGGTCGTCATCAGCATCACGGCTGCGTACCTCTACTCCGTCGTCGCATTTGGCTTCACAATGGCTAACAGACCTCTCGCCACGTCTGAGTTCTTCGAAACAAGCACTCTACTCATCACCCTTGTGCTATTCGGTAGGCTTGTGGCTGCCTATGCTCGCATCCGTGCCGTCGAGGCGGTGTCTACCCGCTCCTTACAGCCTGCTACTGCCCTCTTGCTTGAACCCAACGCCACCCAGGCCAGAGAGATCGATGCCAGACTGCTGCAGTTCGGAGACAGGTTCGTTGTCTCGCCTCACTGTACCGTCCCCACTGACGGGCGAGTGTTGGAGGGCACAAGCGAGGTCGACGAGTCCATGCTGACGGGTGAGAGTCTGCCCGTTCTTAAGAAAAAGGGGTCGCAGTTGATAGCCGGCACCATCAACGGCTCGGGTTCACTGACTGCTCTCCTGACTCGCTTGCCGGGCAAGAACACCGTGGCTGAGATATCGAACCTGGTCGAAGAGGCGTCCAGCCATAAACCAAAAGTCCAGGATCTAGCTGATAGAGTCGCCGGATGGTTTGTTCCAGTGGTTACTGTTGCTGCGTCTATCGTCTTGATCGTCTGGCTGCTCGTCTGTCTCTTGGTCCGTAACCAGTCTGCCGGTGGTGCCATAGGTACTGCCATCACATATACCATTGCCGTGTTTGCCGTCTCCTGTCCCTGTGGCGTTGGTCTGGCTGTCCCCATGGTCCTCGTCGTTGCAGGTGGTATCGCTGCTCGTGGAGGCGTCATTATCAAGTCCGCCGAGTCCACTGAGCGTGCATACAAGGTAACAGACGTCGTGCTCGACAAGACCGGAACCATTACAACTGCCGACCTCGAGGTCGTCGAGACCGTCTTACTCTCTGCTTCTGCATCGGAGGAGAACAAAGAAGATACCCTCGCCATCACCGCAGCCTTAGTCCGCGATAACAAACATCCCGTCTCCGTTGCAGTGGCCAAACATCTCACCGACCAATCCCCCCAACGCCTCGAAAACATCCGCATCATCCCCGGCGCAGGCGTAGAGTGCGTTAGAGACGGCACTACCACCTTCCGCGCCGGCAGCGCTCGCTGGCTCCATGTCCAAGCCCACCCAGACGTTTCCCGCCTCATCAACCAAGGCATGACAACCCTCTGCATAGCCCGCAACTCAACCTTGCTCGCCGTGTTCGGACTCAAGAATAATCCCCGTCCCGAATCCGCGCGCGTCATCCAGAAGCTCCAATCCCGCGGCATAACAGTGCATATCGTCAGCGGCGACGAAACCAAAGCCGTTGAAGAAATAGCTGCTACAGTAGGTATATCTGCCGCTCATATAGCTGGTCGTCAAACCCCGGGAGACAAACAGACCTACGTCCAACAGCTCATGCAAGACGGCAAAACAGTACTTTTCTGCGGAGATGGCACCAATGATGCAGTTGCTATCACGCAGGCAGACGTGGGAGTTCAGATCGGTTCCTCGTCAGACGTCAGCAGAGCAACGGCGGATGTTGTCTTGCTTAGCGGACTGGAAGGTATCGTGGTATTGCTTGATGTCTCGCGGGCGTCTTTCAGACGTATTGCGTTCAACTTCATTTGGTCAGGTCTGTATAACGTCTTCGCTATACTGTTGGCTGCTGGAGCGTTTGTGTATGTGCGTATCCCCCCTGCGTATGCTGGGCTGGGTGAGATAGTGAGTGTCTTGCCTGTTATCCTGGCTGCGCTGAGCATGTTCTGGACCAGACGCTCCTTTGCCGTTTGATCTGGCCTGATCTAGTCTGATTTTATTTACCTTGATCTATGGCAGATATATTGGCCTTGATCTATGGTAGATATGGAACAGTTTGGGTAGTGATGTTGCCTTTTATCTATGAGCTCTCCTATAGTTAGTTAACTAGTCTAGTCGATGAGAATGATATTGAGCACCTTGAGGATCTACGTTGGTTCAAGAAATGACGCAGTTATGCATATGCATATGCATACCTAATTTATCTTAATTGAACGATGCCTTTGTGCATAGATACTCTAATCTAACCACATCTACACCAGCCACGTCTATAAACCGAGACTAAATCATATCCATATCTCTTGAGCTGCCGATCCAAGCAAAACACCGATCGATTACATTACAATGCCAAAATACGCCCGTATACGCCCATGTTCATTATTATCAGTAAAAAGGTATTTTTTAACTCGCCCTCACGCAAGAACAGGCATACTCTCATCCTTCATGATCGAATCCCCAACTTCATCCTCTTCCTCTTCTTCTTCTTCCTCATCGTCCTCCTCCAGATCATCCTCGTCATCCTCCCCTTCCTTATCCTCAATAAACGGACTCTCCATATCCAACGCATGTAACCGGCCAAGTAGCTCCTCTTGTTTTCGATCCTGCCATCTCGCCAGCGCAGCGCACGCATGCACTCTAAACCCAAACACTCGAGGCTCGTACCTCTGCCGTGACTTGTCCGGTATTAGATCGGGGTAGACTTGAAACAGCACGTTATGGAAGGATGAGCCGAAGTAGGCACCGTCGACGGCGGCATGGCGGGATGATTTGGGGTTATATATGTCTTCGCATTTTGCGCAGTAGAGCTTGACTGGTTTTTGCCCGGGGATGTCGGACTGGCCCATGGGTAGGAGAGGGTGCTGCTCGCACATCACGCGAGGACACTTGCCGAAATCAGCGCTTTTATATTTTTCAACCTGGCACAGTCAGCTTAGGATATGATACGGAAGTGCGAGGTAGGTGTTTATACCATCTTTGCTAATCCGCGTGTAGTAACAATGTAACGTGCGTGGACCAGACCGTACAGATGCCGGGCTGATTTCTCGATTTGTTCTCGAAGGTCGTCGTCTGCGTCCAGGTCGAACAGGTCCGTCACCATGTCCAGCGCATATTGGTAGTATTGCACTTCCGTGTTCAGGCCTGTCAGGTTGAACCGGTCTGTTAAGTATTCCTCATCTATCTCGCAGAAATATTCATTGCCCCGGGAAGATATAAACTGTGCTCGCAATGCGTTAGTTGAGGGTGGTTATTCTCTACCTTGAACCAGCCACTCACCCAATCTCTCCAGAACGACGTGTAGTCGCTGTCCGTGTCCGTATTGTTAAACTCATCCATGGCCTATGCGGAGTCGCTATAGATATGTCTGCGGCTTTGAACAAACTGGGCGGGTAGTGGAAGTTTGGGGGGGTGTTTTTTTGTAGCGAGCTCCCACCCCCGCTTTGCGGTCGACGGCGAGGTTGGTCGTATAGAATATCGGTAGCGAGGAAAGGAGACGGTTCGTGTAAAGGGGTACGACAAGCGTGTTAGCAGCTAGAAACGTACAAAAACGCAGGTTCTTCGTGGTCAATTATCTTGCATCTACAAACTTGGTGGCTTTTGATGTGCTTTTTTTCTTTTCTTCCAAAAGAGCTTCTTGTGGCGGAGCTTCCACGTGATGCTGGTTGGCTCAGGGCCTGTAGCCACTGCATTATTGCGTATCTATGTAGATATTGGGGTCTATTATTTATTGTGTATAGATGTACTCGATAGAAATAGATGGCGAAGTAGCCAGTAGCATAGCGGAGATGGTATCTGTCCAACAAAAGAGATATGTAAATACACCGACGAAAAGAATGGAAACGCCCCAGACGGACAGGGGCAACAAGGTATATACAATGAAATATAATCAAACGAGACAAGGAAATTCGTAGCGCAAGGGAAGAAGATAGCAAGACAAGGTATACGCGGGAAGGTTTAGCGGCTGGCTCTATTGCATTCCTCGATAAACTTGCAGACTCCCTCGATGCCTCCATAGTCAGAGGCGGTAGGGGTTGGGTAGCGTATGTCAGGGAAGAACGCTCGATCACCCAGCTCGCTAATGCCTACGCTAGAGAAGGCCGAGGGTACACGAGCCCATGGATTTTCTTCTGACGGGTTCATGAGAGAAAAGTCGCCATCAGGCGTACCAAAAGGGGAGATGGAGTTGTCCGAGAGCATCATCTCCTGCCAGTTGACGTACTCCGGCGTTCGCATTAGCGGACTTTCACGAAGATACGATCCAGATTCAGAATGCTGGTGGCTAGGAGCAAAGGGGAAGAGGAGTGCTATGTCGGCCCCGTTTTTGCTCTCAAAGTCTTCGTCCTGACCGACTACACCTCTCTGCACACCGGCCTCGATACATAGACTTTCCACAGTTTCTGCGTCGCATCCCGGGAATCTCACCCGTATGGTAGACTGGTCTTGTAACGAGATGGGTAAGTCGCCGAGAGTGGCGAGTTTCTTTAAATCGTTAAGGACGGCGGCAAGTTCCTTGAGCACGCGAGCAAAGTCTCCGGATAGAAGATCTAGCAGACCAGCAGAGTTGAGAGTTGCCTGCTCAACAGCTGAAACCGAGGATCCCTTTTGCATGGACTTGAAGCATCCGAGGGCGGTGATGGTTGGGGAGATCTTGAAGTCAACGTAGGACCCTGAGGCTGCTGGGGAGATGGCGTCCATCCTGCGGCCGGCCTCCTGCTGTAGCGGAGTTACAACTTTGTACTTTTTGGCGCCTGTTCGCTTGTCAATCCCGTCAAAGCGGATTCTTTGGCCAGACAGCCAAAACGAACGCATTGCCACAGAGACATTCTGGATAACTTGAGCGGGGCAAGTTGGGGAGCTAGAGAAGTATCTCGCTCCGCCTATTCTGCCCGCACCGATCGCATATCCTCCCGCTGTCCGACAAAAGGCACCTCCTGTGAGGTTTGGACGCAAGGTCGAGGCAAAGGGGGTCCTCGTTGTCAAACGGCTGACCTGGGTGGCGATCTTCAGCGGCTGAGCGGTTCTGATAGCCGCAGCACGGCTTGACACCCGGCCAGTGGTGAAAGAACGGGTCTGTGACCGGAGGGCCGCAATCCGGCTTGCAGGAGTCCTAGCAGACGGACGAACATATGCTGGTTGAAGCTGGAGAGCTCGAGGTTCAGGGGCATCGGGAAGGCGGTTCCTGATTGCTCGCGCAGTCTTTTCGAAGGCAAACCTATAATATGATGTCAGCCTGGCGCTCCTCTTTCTGTAGGCTAAAAGGATCACTTACCTGGCTACCCGCCAGACCTTCGGAATGAGCTGGTGCCCACTTGACGGCGCCATTATGAAGAGCCGATATCAAACTGATATCATCAACAGCAACTGTCGAGTCGAAGTTGAGTTGATGAAGAGAAGGAGAAGAACCTCGAAGAACTTCCGCTTTCGTCATAGGCAGAAGTTTTTCCGAAGCTCGGCGAAAAGCGGAGAGAACGGAATAACCATAATCCATTAGATAGATGACTAAGCAATAATATCAAACTCGAAGAGACGGCGACGACGATGTGGATGCTGAGAGGACGTCAAAGAAAGCAGAGGAGGTCGACGGCGGGCTGCTACAGACAAGATGTCATCTGGGTTTGTATCTGCGGGCGTGGAGGGAGAGGAATATGAAGGTAGCAGGCCCCGTGACGAGTGGTTGAAGGTAAAACAGGAGCTGGAGGACAACCGCCAGAGGAGAGCTACCGAAGGGCAGCAAGAAGGTGGAAAGAGCCTCTACGAGGTGCTGCAGCAGAATAAGGGTATGGCCTAAATACGGATGCTGAAGTTACTGTTTCAATTCAGCTTTAGTCTGCTATCTACTGCATTGTCAATTGGTGCTGACGGAATTGTACACCCAGCTGCCAAACAGGAAGCGTTCGAGGAGTCCATACGGCTGAAGAACCAGTTTCGAACCCTTGATGAAGATGAAGTCGAATTTCTCGATTCGATACTCGAGTCCACGCGTGCCAAGGAGGAGGCATTGCAGAAGGAGACGAGTGAGAAGCTGGAGCTGTTTCACAGGCAACGTGAGGAGGCTGAGAAGGCTCTTCTGGATGCAGAGAGTGGGAACGCTGCTGAGCTTGCTGGGCCTGCAGATGATGGCGACAACTGGGCCATTTCTGGGCGGAAACGTCGGCGGGCCAAAGAGAAGGATGGTGGCCTTCTAAGCCTTAAACGACAGAGGTCCTCTATAACCACTGAAAACAATAATAGCAGCAGCAGCAGCAACAAGGATAGCAAGTATGAAGCAGGTGAAAGAGCTGAAGCCACTCAGGCTCCGCCTATCAAGACGCCAGAGCCGAGCATCCCGACAGAAACGAAGACGTCAAACCTGGGGCTGGGTGCGTATAGCTCTGACGAAGACGACTGATGAGTGGCGGGAGGGATGCACGATGCGCGAGTCTCCCGTAAGGGGGCATGCAGCATGCACTGTGTGTTCCACGCATGGTTCTTCCGCAAGCAGGACGGTGAATCAGCATGACTCCCAGAGTGGAATGCAAATACTTATTCATCGAGGCTGGACATTACAATATAATCCACAGGCTAAGCCCCGTCTATCTGCCTGTAAGGGCGCATCCAGCTACCATTACGAGCTACAGCTACATCTACAGCAACCCCGCAGACAAAAGGCCGATGAAGGTATTTTCTATTGATCAATACATGGACGGCGATTAATTACAGGTATTAGCCGCTGCCTTGAACCTCGGCAGTAGGGCCCATAATCCGTCTTCATTAATATCGTCACTGCATCCGAGATAATCTATACATGCAGGAAGCTCAGCCATGCTTGACGTCCATGACCTTTCCGTTATCGTCGACGTAGACGTTCATCCTATGCCACCCGCAGGGTTAGCAGGCATATTCTAGACGACCAACTGAGCTATTAATATCGACAATTTATTAACACACCTTTCTGGTTTGAAGTCCATTGTAGACATGTCGCCAGGCTTGAGAACCCGGTGTCCCTCTGGAAGATCCTTCTTTGCAAAGCACTGTCAAAGAGAAGGAAGGAAAAAGCAATGTCAGCACCCGAGTAACAAGCATGCATCAGCAGCTTCAAGCTTACAGTCTCGTTCGACTCGGACTCTGTAATCGTTTTGCCCATCAGCTTGGCTGCCCAGGCAGCCTTGTCATCCTCTGACACTTGCGGCACGACGAGAGGCATGGTCGATGATGTAGATGTGAACCGTCCGGGGGCCAGCAGTTTCTTGAGATGATGCGCCGTCTTTGCTATCGTCTTACTGAAGTCTGATATGGATGATGAAGATGAAGATGAAGAATAAAGCAGAGGGAGAGGAGGAGATCAACCCCGCGGGGGGTATTTATATACGGAAGATGATGTACCAGCTGCCCTGTGGCGAGTTGGATGCGACCTCAGCAGGCATCAGCATTTTTACAAATTAACTGCCCTCTCTCAACGTCATATTCACTGCCCGACGGAGCACAGCTTGTTTCCTTCACCAACTACTCCGTACCAAGGTGAAAGAACTCGACTTGAACCTTGCAAGACATGGTTTAGTTGCCCGACGCGATTGATAACGGGCCTCATGCCATGGCATATATATCACCGGCCACACTATGACATACACGGCTAGTAAGTCGTCAAGCCAACATGTCCGTACGGGACAGCCACCTTACTAACAGACGCAGCGCACATCTGGCTTCGAAAAGGTGTGCAGACAAGAAGACGCTACAGCGCACTAGTAGCGGATAAAGGGGGTCGACCCCCTGTTACGGATTACCCAAGACGGCACCAATGATGGCCACAGGGCATACGATCTCGTCCGGGGCCCCTGGATCTGCTGGTCATCGGCGGGGGGAAGAGAGGGAAGGGCGATGGAGTCCGTCCTGCTTGCGTTTGTCAGGGCCTTCATGCAGGGCTCTTTATAATGCGCTGTTTCAGCTGCCGTTTCCAGAGGAAGCCTGGAGCCTTTGCGGACACCAGCAGGCCAGCCATCCAAGAATCAACGGACCAAGGGTTCGGCGGTGGTCGACCAGCGATACCAGTCGTTACAAGCTGATACGGACCAGGTCTTTCGCAGCCCTCGCCCGCGTAAAAACTGTGCAATTTATAAAACAATAAATTCTCCATCCACCTGCATGTGGGCGCTTCGTAAAGGAAAACTGCGAAAGAACTTTAAGCCTTTTCGTTCGTTTTTGCTTCTCCTGGCGGACGCCAATCACCAGGACAGGAGAGAAACCGTTTGACGACCCTTCCTTCGGAGATACATATATCACAGAGGAGCGGCTGCTGGCTGGGCTTACGCACTGCTCTCCAACTCCTGGATAACTAGCACGGCCAAAGAGCGAAAGAGAAAAAAGAAAAAGGCCTGACGGGTACCTTTCCTTTCATTGCTTGACAATGCTCGCTCGTTATCCATCGCTCGTTCAACCGTGCAGATCAATCTCCTCTTGACGCTGTTCTTGCCTGTAACCAGGTAAAAATAGAACGATTCCTCGACCAATTTGCAGTCAAATCCAACAGCAGTCGAGTTCTTAACAGGAAAGAAAAAACCTTCGACCTCTCTCGTCTCTCGTTTACCACTCATTGATTATTCTTCGCTCCCTTACGCGCATCGCCATCGACTGGCGCATTGTGTGTTGATCGTGTCGCCGAAGGACGTCCGTCGTCCTTGGGCCAGCACATCCAATCATGTTACCACCAACATTCATTCAACTGTTACTGTTACAATCATGCGCTGCTGCATTAGCAACCGCTCCATCAACACACTCTTCCGCTCGTTCCCGCTCATGCTCGGAACAGCTAGGCTGTCTAAGGCAGGAAGACTCACAACTGCCGCAGAAACTTGACCATCTTGGGATATGGGACGAGATATCAAGGACCAAGAGAGATGGTGATTCTGGAGGAAATGGAAGGGGAGGAGGCGGAGGCGGAGGCGGAGGCAGAGGAGAAGGGGGACGCCGACCACCGAGTTCTGGCCCTCCCGGTCAGGGCAATCCTGACCGCGGTCCTCCTGGCCCTCCTGGCCCTGGCAATCCTGACCGCAGTCCTCCTCGTCGAGGGAGTGAAAACGATAATAATCCACGCACTGGTCCTCCTAACACAGGCAATGGAGAAGGTCCTACCCGTGATAAAAACGATGATGATGAAGAAAAAGATAAAGACAAAAATAAAGAAAAGGGCAAAGACAGTGGTATAGGCGGCGGTGATAAAATTGGAGGAGGAAATGGAGGGGGAAATGGAGGGGGAAATGGAGGAGGAAATGGAGGAGGAAATGGAGGAGGAAATGGAGGAGGAAATGGGAACGGAAACAAGCCAGGAAAAGATCATGATCCGCCCAAGCATGACCCTCCGCCAAAGGATGACCCTCCTCCATCCATTCCAACACAGCAACCAGATCCGACCAGAGATCCTCCTCCAAACAAGCCTCCTCCGGACCCAATGACCCCCCAGCAGCCAGGTCCGTCCAGAGATCCTCCGCCAAACAAGCCTCCTCCGGACCCAATGACCCCCCAGCAGCCAGATCCAGCCTCATCTCCTCCCCGGGACCCCATGACGGAAAAGGGACCTGTGACTCGAACGAACGAGCCAGCTGACCCGCAACCTACAGATGAACACCCTTCCTCTTCACAGCCTCCACCCCAGGAATCAAAGCCAAGCGCGGAACCAACCGAATCCCCCAATTCTACCCAAGATCCAAAGCCAACATCTGCAGAACCATCGGAGTCGCCCAAGTCCCCAGAGCAAACAATATCACCAACTGGGGAACCCGCTGAATCCTCCAATGGACCGCCTGCTCCAACTTCGTCTTCATCCTCGTCTTCATCCTCGTCTTCTCCCTTGACTTCTTCTACCACTCCGCCCGAGCCTCCCAAATCCAAAGGCGGCAGCCTAAGCAAGGGCGGTGTCGCTGCTGGTGCCGTGTTTGGTGGATTCGTCGTTATATCCCTAGTATTCCTGACATTCGTCTACTACAAACGGTGGAAACATACGAGGGAAAACCAGACTGATGAGAATTCCAGCAGGCGGCTCTCTCCGTTTCCGCCAACTCCTCCAACAGGCGATATCCAGCAGACTCAAGCTGGAATTGTAGACCACAATGAGTCAATGACATATGATCAACACATGAACTCATTTGGTGTTCTATCAAGTCCTTCTCAAGGGGACACATATCCTCCTAGCTTCGAGGAAAAGGGCATTGCCTATTCTACATACCCTTCTAATCAAGATGCCACCTACCAGGCATCATTAAGCCAATCGGGACAAAACGAATTGCATCTCCCCCAGGGTAACATGGGTAATACCACGCAATCCAATTCACTCATTGCCTCGAGTGACCATCAACACCAATACATGGCATACTCACCAGATTTTATGGAAGATGAGAAGACCAGCTTCCATGCCCTTGGGGCACCTGGCCTTGCTCCACTACCTGAGTCATCTCAGGAGAATCTACATCTACACAATCCGTCAGAAGAATATAGACGGCCAATACCGAAAAGATACAGTGCCGTGAACTCACATCAAACAGGACGAAACAGCCTCATGCAACTTACGAGCCACAACAGCGCTGTATACCCGGCCAACTCGCAATAACCACATATCTAATGAGTTTTCATTCACTGTCTTCTTCTCATTCCTAGCCTCTGGTTTCTTCGGGCTGCCGTTTTCATCAAAATCCTTGATACATACTCCAGGTGAACTTCGCTTCCTGGTTATCTTTTTCTCAAACCTTCATTCCAGGCGACACTCTTTCCTTCGGCTTTTCATTTTCTTTACTTGTGCACAGGCAGTGGTTTCCTCCCTATATATCCGATCACTCTTTGATCTCCTTGTATTATGAAATTCCTCAGCACTTTGGATACTGATTCCTTATTCCATCCCAAGGACAAGACACTCACTCCGTGATCTGGATGCTTTTGTTTCCCTTTTCACCTTCTGTTCTCTTTTCTTTTCTTTTCTCTTCTTTTTGACCAGCTGCTCCCAGCCTGTTAGACTTGCTTCACTTTACTAGCTGACCGTTCCTCTATGTGAGCTTGTGCTTACGCTTTTGGAGGTTGGCGCTGCTTTTTTGACAAGCCTTCAGAATTTTTCTTTTCTTAGCAATTAGATGCGACGATGGCTGAGTCCCTATACCCTGTTGGTTATAGATGAATGATAAATAAAGGGTTAACTCCATGGGTTTCTGTTTGAATCACCACCACTTTCTTCTATAAGGCCAGTACATGATGATGGAAACTAAAGAACGAAAACACACCAGGTAAATTTCAAGACGGTAGATACAGGGCGAAATTGGAGTGAATCATCTTCCGGCAACTAGCCCATGGCCATGATGCTGTCTTGGGAATCTCTTATTAGAAGAAGTATTTGAAAACAAAATCAAGGTATATTCGTACAGTAGAAAAAAAAAGCCAGCAAATAACGCTATATAGAATCGGCCACCGTTGAAAAGAAATGGGAAATTTTGCGACTAAACCAGTTGACTTGCAGGTTATGTCACCCTTTATTTACTCAAGAAGAGCAGCAAAGAAGGTTCAAATGGTGAATTAAATGAGGAACATCGAAGAAGTTGGAATATGAGGAATTCATACGTGTGTGAACCCAGTATCTAGCCTTTGATCATCCGCAAACACCGCTCCATGCGTTTACCGCGTTCTTTCTCTCGTATAAGCGTTGTCTTGACAAAGTCTCGAATGGCTTTTCTTCCAGTTTGTTCTCTCCAAGAACTCCATCCAGCCAATTCACCAACAACAACTTCCTTGTTCCATGAAATTTCCTTTCTGACTTCATCAATCTCAGTCGTCAGCGTGGCGATCTTGCTCTCTTGTTCACGGATAGAGCGCTGTCGAGATTCTTCAAGGACAGAGAAGTTGAACTTGCGCGGTAGGGACGAGGAGGCAACTGCGGAACGAGCACGGGAGAGTGACCTCTGGGCAGAATTGAGTCTTAAAATGAGATTGTTGGGGCGAGAGAGAGAAGACAGCATTGCCCTTGTGGTATTTTGGGATGAGGTGAGTGCGGCCAAGAACTGTATCAAGGGAGAGGAATCCGTCGACGAGAGGTTGTAAGAGGAAACGAAGCGGTGGAAGGCCCGGACGTATTGATGAGGGAGAATGTTGGCGGGAGGTTGCAGGGACGAAAACATAGAGCTACAGAGGAAAAGAGCATCTGCAAAGTCTGTCGATGCATTTTGCAGTAAATACCCGCAGCAGATCAAGTTGCGAGTCCCTTCACTAACAGATTGGACTGCGTCTTCGGCGTGGCTTAGAATCTGCTGGGTGCTTCGTATGACTTCTGCCGACGCAGGCTCGTAGTCATCCATTATCGACTCAGCAAGTACAGTAGCTTTGCGTGCAGAGCGCTGGTCAATCATTTCGGTCTGTATCTCGGGAACAAGAAAGAATTCCCAAAGTAATTCGTGAGTTGAAAAGGTCGGGTGAGCCAATAAAACTTTCAATAGCCTGTCTAAACGCTCCTGGATATCATGCAAAACAGCCCTCGAGGGCTTTGAAGGTATTTGAAACGGAGATCGGAAATAAGGCATCTCGGGGAGGTATGACGCAGGGTGCTCTACCCGCAGAAAGCGAATGAGATTCTCAAAGTCGTTGAGGCTGCGTCGACAAGTAGTAACGGTGTAGGTAGTTGTACGAGGCCCCTTTTGATCGGGCGAAGGTGGACTGGTGGAAGGTGCACCAGATTTGATTATGAACCGTATTCCAAAGTCTTCGACGAAGAGCGACCTAACCACACTTGTTGTGCGGTTGCTTGCATCAGGGGAGGATGGAACTGGTGTAGAGCAGAGAACCAAATCATCTATCCGGTTCCTGATTTCATCGTCTTTGGCAAGTTCTATTGCGGTGAGGCCTCGTGATTCTCGAAGATGAACGTCAACGCGAGGGTCGGCAAAAAGAGTCCTAACAAGATCAATTCGGCCGTACTTGCTAGCCACCATTAACGGTGTAAATCTTCTGTCGTTTGTATAATTAGGGTCTCCGTCACATTGCCTAAGGATTCTTAGTAGTATCTGGGGGTCGCTGACGATATGAAGGAGGGTGTTTCCCTTCGCATCGACATGATCATCCAGTCGGAGTGGTTTCCCATCACCTTGGGATTGAGTCGCTAAGGTCAGTGCATTGTTGACCATGGAATTATAATCAGGGTGATCATATGACCTGCATAGGGCGAATAGAGGTGTTTGTCCATTTCTGTCCCGCTGAGTCCAAGGTAGAGCTCTTCCTAGACGTGAAAGTAAAGCTGGGGAGTTAAAGAGGTAATGCCCAACAGTGCGGCCTCTATTATCGGCTTTTCTAAGGTACGAAACCACCTCAGACTCGCTCCCCTGGAGAACGTATTCGATGAGGATGTTAATGATTTCGGCATGTGCAAGTTGAACAGCGGCACTGAAAAGTGTGGTTCCCTCGCTGTTCACATCTTGAAGAATGCTTTCTCGAGGGTAGAACTCGCTTAAACCCAGTAAGTATCTCAAGGCATTTGGCTGACCAGCTTCGACAGCCATCATGAGGACCGAGTGTCCAGACGGATCTTTGGTTGTAGTCAAACTTTGAATTGATGTATCGCCTTCAATCCCACCAGCTATCGATCCAAAGGTTGTAGAGCGAGAAAGGAAAGATATCGTAGATGATTCTGACATGCTCCTGGTATCCATTGATACCTTCTTCCGAGGTTTAGGCCGTTCTATGGTCGCTGTAGGCTGAGCCCATGTTTGGAAGGGGAAGACGTGAGCCAGTCTAGGCGTTTCCGGCGCGTCGTCTTGAATGGCACAGCTAGGTTCTGAAAAGTCCAGCTTATGCCTATTGTTTGAAAACCCGTTCAATACCGTCTGTTGACGCTCATTTTCCTCTTGGCAGCCAGAGTTAGTTGGTTGCTCATTTTCGCAGCCATTTTCATCAGCAATAGGGCTCGATGCTTGAAGGTCTGGTTGTAGTATGGCAGTCATTTCAGGTATTTTCCCTTGTTTAGTGGCCGTCCAAAGGCGTTTATTTCTCGAGCTAGCTTTCCTTAGCCCTGCAGAGTCATTTTGAAGGTATATCAAGACCCCTTCGAACGTACTAAGCGCATACCCAGACTCGCCGGATTCGACATCATCTACGAAGATGAAGCGTTGCATGTATAAAAGCCTGGCGTACAGGTTTCGCACATGTGACCGTATGACAACCAAGAGCAGGAGCGAGACCAGCACATCAGCGTTGATAGTGAGAACAGAAGGTTTTTCGCTCTGGTTTTCTGATGCAACTGAAGCCTGATCTACGGTGACAATTTTTACAGTCTTGAGGAGTATTGCAAGCATGTCCTGAGGACACCTTGCATCTGAGATCTTTCTGAACTCTTCGACGGCTGTTGCGATACGGCGTCTGAGATCTTCTCTACCCTCATGACCGCCTTCTATAGGTATCCCTACCTGGGATACATCGATATTCTCCATCTGGCGAACGCGCAGGTCAAGGTCTAGGTCATCGGATTGGCGGCACTCGCGGAGGCGAGGGAAAAGAAGATTATCATGAACTTGTTCGAGAACATAGCGTTCAATCAGACGTTCGACCATTGGGCCCGTAAGATCAGTGGTGGCACCAAGAAGGGAGAGTTGCTGTTTGTCCACAAGACGAAAGATGTCTATTGCTGCGGTGACTGCTGTATCCAGAGCATTTCGCATTACATCCTCTTCATCTTCATACTGCTCTGAAGAACCAAATGGCAGCGAGTGGGTGGAATTGTGTTGTGAGGAGGAGTAAACTTCACCCCCCTCTACTGGCCGTTCCGATACCACAGGGGATTCAGATGGTGGAGGAGGAAGGGGTTTGCCTAGCTCTTTGCCAAATTCGCGGAAGAGACGGTCAAGTCCGGGTTTCATCTGCTTTGCAATCAAGGGGAATTTTGAGAGCAGGTCGCTAAATGAGGATATCTCATTGCGCTGATAGCTGGAGTGATAATTAGAGGAGGCATCCAAGCCTGGACCGTGACGAAGTGAGACATTGTCCAAAGTACCCGGAACAATGGCCTGGACGATTTGGCCAGGTTCATAGGAGCCAACCAAAGGCTTTGAGATGTAGTAGATGAGCCATTGTTGGGAGCTGTCGTTTGGCGAGGAGTATAGGACGTCACTGAGCAGCTGGGCATGGTTGACCATCTTGAACCCCTTATTGCTGTAGACGACCGACTCTTTGATAACGACTGTCCGTCCATTTGCCGTTGCCATCTGCCATGCTTTGCCTTTCTGTTCCCTCAGTGTTGACAGCTCTTTGGTCGCAGACGAACCCGGCGAGCCCGTAATCCGCAGGACATGGCTGGCGAGAAAGTCCTCGGAGGTGACCAGGTCAGCATACTGCGCGCCGGACTCTCGGTCCCGTGAGCTAATAAGAGATTCTGTCAGGGGGACCAGGAGGATCTGCCATATGGTTAGCTAGGTGAATTGTATAGGAGGTCGTATAGCTGTGTAGATCTGGAGGGGGCAGCATACATGGCTCTCTACGGGAACACATTGCGACGGCAGAGAGCTCCGGAAAAAAGAGCGGAGAAAAGGGTTTAGAGGGTGCATTCACACAACATCGGACGGCCTGGCGGAGGCCCGCCGCTCGTCAAAAGTCTCACGCAGCGGCAACGGTCCACGGCCGTTTTGTCCTGGGCCCTGGGGGGTTGAGGCCGGGAGCTCGAGGTCGATGGGCGCGCGACGTAGGGAGCAAACAGCGGCGTTTAGCAGCAAGATGAGCTTCACAGGTCCGGACCGCGTGTTATTCGGGTAGACACCACCAACTGCAGCTGGTCTTCTCCTTTCTGTGTGTCTGTCTGCCTGTCTGCTTGTCTGCCTGTCTGTAGTTGTTTGAAGTTGAGCTTCTTCTTCTGCTTTTTCTTCCGCTTATCTGAAGCTTGTGAAGATATAAAGAAGCCTAGCGATAAGGGCTTCACGTGATTATACCCAGGCCCATAGATGTGAAGGCAAGACAGTGAGTGACAGCGGCCGTTAAGCTAGCAGTGATAGGAGAACAGAGGTAGTTTAGCAGTGGAAAAGGAGAGACAGGGTAGGACATGTATAAGATGCTAGTTATAACAGTATTGAACATGGTAGTATACATAGAACACTCGGACAGCCTGGACAACATAGCCAAAGACATCATCAAAAAATATGGCAAGGCAGCCTGGGAGTCAAGAGAGTATAAAGCAAAAAAGAAGCCGGAGAGACATTCAGAGACCGCCTAGCCGAGACGTCTTACAGCTGGGCTTCGTGTGCCGCCAAACTTCAACCTCGTTGCATCCGATACCCGGACAATTCTCTCGCGAAGGACCTTGCCCTCCTTTCCTAGTAAGACCTTGGTAAACGCTTCTCGACCGGGCCCAAAACCTCTAAGGATCACTTCCAGCGCGTTGATCTGCATTAAAAACCCTCTCTCCTGTATCTTGCCCATGGTATAGACGGCGAGCTGGTGCGCGGCATCAAAGTCTCCTCGGTGACTCTTGCGGAATCCGATGTTGCCGGTACTCAGGGACATTAGCACTTCGCCGTTGGGCTTTGTCAAGGTAGCATGGACGTTCCGTCTGTGAGAGTAGATATGTAGGTGGTGAGGCAGCTCGGCTGATCGCTGTGGGTTCTTGATCAGGTTGGACACTCTGGAGATGACTTCTTCCGTCGTCTTGGAGCTAGACGAGGCTGCTGCCTTCGATCGTGTGGTCTGGGATAGTGCTGCGAGTCGCGAAGGGCCAGTGTTCTTGCCCTGGCCTCCTAGCAGGCGGTTCTCAAGCTCGCGGTCGGTTTTTGCCTGTGTCTGTGTATCCTTGGAGACTGTACTGCATTGCGGTGTCGACGAGAACGGCCGTCGCAGTATAAGACGACTAGAACAGCTCTGGGCTTCTCCGGAGAGAGTCAACGACCGCAAGGCCGTCAACAGTGGTATTCTTCCACTCATTGGTGATCAAGATTGAGGTCCGGAGGCCGTAAAAAAAGTAGGTAAAAAGGTCGTCCCGGCGGGTCAATGGCTCGAAAGATGTTATCACAGCCAACTTCTCATAACAAACAAGCCGTCAAACCAGCCTGTCAACTCAATAACTCGTAGTTAAATGCTCAAACGTCGTCGTCTTCTCGTCTTCTTGCTGCTTTTTGTCGATGTTTCTTCGAGGTTTTTTTCTTCCTTTTGCCGGCGCTTGGCGCTTGTAAAACCCAAAAAGGCAAAAAAAAAAAGAAGCTCCAAAATATTTTCTTTCTCGACTTTCTTTTTTATCCAGCTTTTCTCAACGCAACAACAAGTCGAGCAAACAGCACCGAGCCTCTACGGCTAAGTCGAGCTATCTACACGAAGGGGGATTTCATCTAAGAGCACCGGATAGTTGTGCAAGGTTTATTTGCTGTGACGCTCTTTTTTTTTCCGGGTCGGATTCAACGGAAAATTGGAAGCACCCCCAAAGATTTCACGATCTTGCGATATATAAAACACCCCTTCGTCCACGATCCAGAGGAATACAGAGCATGATTGGAACAGGAGCATTGTCCCAGCCTGCCGCAGCGCGGTTAGTGTTGCGCGGATGCTCTCCTTTGGCCTCTACAGCCGGCGCTCGAGGTCACCTCGCTGGACGCCGGATAATTACCCCAACCGCCCTTCGACATTTCAGCTCCCAAAATACCATTCATTCCACCTCGAACCCGCTTCTCCCTTCGACTACTGGGCTCTCCCGCCTATCGAGACATGCTAATGACCCTTTGTGGGTAATTCTTGCTACCAAGAAATCATTCCATTCCGCATGTATCCTTCAACAACAGCAGCAGCAGCAGAAACAGCAAAACCCTACAGATTCTTCGGCTGAAGGCTCAGCAAAAGATCAAAATTCCAAGGAAGAACCGAAGAAAGAGGGCGAAGAGGAATCCGCTGACTCCAAGAAAGAAGATGGAAAGAAAAAGGAAGATGCACCCCCACCCCCACCCCATGGTGACAAAACTCCATGGCAGGTCTTTACGGAGACTCTACGATCCGAGTTTAAGGCCTCGAAAGAGTGGAACGAGTCTACCAAAGCACTTGCCTCTTCTGCCCACCAGTTTACCGAGAGCGAGTCTGTAAGGAAAGCCAGGTCTGCTTATGAAACCGCAACCAGTACTGCGTCTTCAACAACATCCTCGGCATTGAAGAAGACTGGAACCGCGATTGGGAAAGGTGCCGCCTGGACCTGGGACACCACTGCTGTTAAGGGAATAAGAAGCGGTGTTGCTGCAACCGGAAGGGGGATTGAACAGGCCACACGACCTGTCCGTGAGACAAAAGTTTATAAAACTGCTGTGGGAAATATGAAGGAGGTCATAGATGACGGAAGCAGTTCTCGATACGGTGGATGGGTCGAGAAGGAAGAGAGACGGAAACGAAGAGAACAGCGGGAACTGAAGGAAGGCACTCAAAAGGTGGAGCACATGGAAGAAGACCCAAAGTAAGTTCTTTGCCAGTTTGGTTTTCCACCCTTTTATGTCAATATATTGAGCTAACCATCTGAACTGCCAGTGCCGGAACCAATGTTACGCTTCATAAAGATGCAGCTTGGAAAGAATCGTGGCGTGAATTCAGGGATACCAGCCCCATGATGCAGCGCCTGTTCACCTTGAAGAACACCTATGAGGAATCGGAGAACCCCCTTATAAGCACTGCACGAAGCATATCGGACCGGGTAGCTGGCTTTTTCGCGGAGAATGAGACTGCAATGGTCATCAAAGCCTTCCGACAAATGGATCCAAACTTCCAGATTGAGCCATTCCTACGTGAGATGCGAGAATATATCCTACCGGAAGTTCTCGATGCCTATGTTAAGGGAGATGTTGAAACCCTTAAGCTATGGCTATCTGATGCCCAGTTCCATGTTTACGCTGCCCTTACAAAACAATATAAGACCGCTGGCCTCAAGTCTGACGGCCGAATCCTTGATATCCGACATGTCGATATTTCTCATGCCCGTATGCTGGAGCCCGGTGATATCCCGGTTTTTATCATTACATGCAGAAGCCAGGAGGTCCATGTCTATCGAAAGGAGAAAACTGGTGAACTCGCCGCCGGTATGGAAGACAAGGTGCAACTGGTCACCTACGCCATCGGTGTTACACGAATTCCAGATGAGGTCAATAACCCCGAGACTCGTGGCTGGAGATTGATCGAGTTGCAAAAGTCTGGCAGAGATTACATCTAACCATGTATACATAATTACCCCTTTCCTCATGCCATTCCTGCCTGGAAACGACCTCATTCCAATCTTCGGGACAGGTGAAAATACCACTCTATACCAGTGCGACATTTCTCTTCCAGCATAGCATTCCTGTTACAACATCCCCCTTCTCCTTATCCCGCCCCATTTGCCTGCCTCGCTTACTTTTTCCTTTTTATCCCAATGTTTTAAAAATCTGGCTGTATACTACTTGGAGTCCAATAGACGTGCTGACGGCGGAACAACGTGTCTGAAAGATACACGATATCCATTTTCTGATGACCGCGAGCAAGTTCCTTTTTTTGTCTTTTGTTTAAATACCTTGATTAACTCGCATATCGCCCTATCTCTTCTCACCTACTGTGTATATATATATGTTTCAATTTCTTGGACCAAATTACGAATACAATTTATAATTTGAACAACCATGAGGGACATTTTCATATATGTTGAAAAGGAAAAAGAAGCATGGAGTGACATTAATTCATAACGATACCATCTAAGCCTTAGGCGTCCTAGAAGCAACCAAAAAGAAACAACACTTCCCAAGCCGGATGTAATTCTTTAAGGGCTTGGACCGGTGCCGCGGCCACCGCCTCTTCCTCCCATGAGATTCTTCGCCCTAATATTATATGTTAGCAGTTGAAGGTCCTAGGAGAAGATTTTTGAATGATGAAAATAGAAAGCAAGGAAAATCTTACATCTCAGCAATGTTGGGATCGTTCATGAGGCTGGACATATCAGGGAGACCGCCTGAGCTAGATCCTCCGCCACGGCCACCTCCAAAGCCCTCAGCCATCTGTCTCAGGGCTGGGTTGCTCATCAAGTTATTCAGCATATCGGGATTGCTCATTATATTCTGAGCCATGTTTGCGAACATAGGGTTGTTCATGAGCGCGCCAAAGTCGGGCATGCCGCCGCCACCTCCGCGTCCACCCCCAAGCATGCCTGCAAGTGAGGCCAGGTCTGGCATGCCGCCTGGAGCACCACGAGTGGCACCCGCAGCATCATCAACTGCTTCGGCTGGGGGTTCATTCTCAGTCTTCTCCATCTCAGCAATGCGCTTCCTGGCCGTCTCCAGGCCTCTCTTCATGGCTTCACTGCCGCCGGTGCCTTCAGCCTCGATACCCTTCTGGTAAGCTTCAGCAGAGCCCTTAGCGTCTCCCAGAGCAAATCTAGCAAGTCCGAGTCTGCTCCAGGCTTTGACGTATTTGGGGTCAGCAGCAACGGCAACCTCGGCATCCTCGGCAGCTTTTGTATGGTTTCCAGACGCTGAGTATGCAGCAGCACGGTTGGATAGGTAGATAGGGTTAGCAGGCGCAACGGCCAGTGCGCGAGTATAACAGTCAATCGCTGCAGGGTAATCTTTGCGAGCCATAGCAGCATTTCCCTCAGACTTTAGCTTATCAGATTCAGGGGTGGGAGCGCCAGCCGGTTGAGAAGCAGTTTTGCTAGGCTGCTTCTTTTCCTCGCTGGTGGCGGCTGCGGGAGCGGTATTCCTGGTGCCTTTCACCTTTTGGTAGACGCTGAAAATGTTCAGCAGAGACTGCCCACCCAGAGCGTCTTTCATGGCAGCCTCATCGGACGGGTCGACGCCAAATGTGTCTCCCAGGCATGAGGTAGCGATCTCTATCGACTCTGAATGCTCTGCGGTAAGCGTTCCATCCTTGAGGCTGGAGTTGAGGAAGTCTATTATAGCCAAAGCTAGCTGTTTCTGCGAGTCTGAAGGAGCCTACAGTCCAAGGTTAGCATAATGCGACCGTGTCTAGCAAGGAGGGCTGCGGCAATACCATCGTGAAGAGGAGATAAGTGTCCTGCTGTTTCCCGTGCTCGGTGGTGGTGGGATGTTTCTACGTTCTTATCTTGCTTGTTCCAGGTGTTTCTTTTTCCCTCGATAGCTTGGGCGAGCAGGGCGTCACATGACCGGGGCCTCGGCCAGCGATGCTCAACGTCGAAGGAAGAGGCCAAACGGCCAGTGTAACTGACAACGACATCCTAACGACATTTACAGCACCCGGACGACCTGGCAGAGATGCGGCATGGGGGGCGTTGAGTGGAAGATGAGCCAATGCTTTACATGAGCGCCTGGTAGTCAGCCACAGCAATGTACTGGCCAAATGGAGTGCCCCGAGTCTATGCAGTCAACGGCCCGGAGATACAGAAGCAGCTGAAAAGACAGCAGCAGCAGCAGCAGCAAGAGGAGGAGGCCGAGCAGGATGACAGCAGAACAGAGACCACTGCAGAGTCTGCAGATGAGAGGGAGCAAAGCAATGGGTTGCTACAGGATGATCACCAGCAGATAGCTGCACAGTATGCGGAAGATGGAGGCGATGCTTGGGCGGATGAACCGATTACCGGGCTATGTGTCTCCAAGAACGGAGCTTTGTTTGCAACGATGACCAGGTCCTCGTTGGCCATTTGGCAGACCAAGGCATGTTCTCTCACACGCGGGATATCTGTGGAATCTATGCTAATATGCCCCTATAGCCGACAGCTGTTGTTGCGGCAGTCAAGCGGTCTCACGTGTCTATCGCGAACTACGGCCCGAATGTAGCTCTCCTACTTCGACCAGATTCCGGTATCATCGTTGTACAGACGCTGGACGGCTACCTGATAACATATTCGATTGCAACTGATGCACACTCCCACGTATACCAACAGCTATTCTTACAGCCGCTGGCAAGACGCAATCTTCCCTCCAGTGGCTCCCAGGCAATCCGCGAAGTAAGCCTACGGTTCAGAGTAGCTATCAAAGTGGATGCTGGGATTAGCAAAGCTGTTGCACTAGACAACGAGCTAATGGTTGCCACAACGAAACCTGCTGCTATACAATTAATCCGTTGGACTCCGGATAATAGCGGTAATCAAACCAGCACGGAGCTCTTGAGCCGCATTCCATGGCTCTCGAAGAAGTCACTTGTCGTCGAAATGGTCTATGACCGTGCTATGAATCTTCAGTTGTGGGTAACAAGTGATGGCCGAGTTTATGCGGTCCAATACAGTTACCGTGAGGTTGATGAGTCTGGTTCATCCAAGGTCAATTTCACCGGACACAGGTTCCATAATCCAGAGAATGATGGGCAACGCGCACTTCAGGTTGCTGTAAATGCAAGGTTCTCCCTCTTCGCTGTGAGCTGTGTTAACGGTGAGATTTGCATCTATGCAGCAAGGGACTACTCGGGAAATATTCCACTATCCCACAAACTACAGATGCCAGCATCTGCAGCCACAATGGGGAAGGTATCCTTTATGAGCTACTCGTATGATGGATACTGTCTCTTTGCAGGCTACGAAAATGGATGGACAACGTGGAGCGTATTTGGAAAGCCAGGCGGCACTAGCTTCACTGCAGACAAGTCGCTTGCGGAGAGCAATGGGGAAACATGGCTAACAGGGGTTTCCATGGGTGCATGGATTGGTGGTGGCTCCGACATCTTGCTTGCATCCTCTAAAGATAAGCGAATATGGGTGCTAGAAGCTGCACGTAGTGCCCTAACCGGATGTTTTTCTTCCGCAAATCTTGCCCGAGCACTTCTTCAAACAGGCACCGAAATAATCCTATATCGTGGCCATGACCTTCCTGACTTGACAACTATATCAGGCAAGGACTCACTTTGGCACCATGCTCAATACCCGCCTGGATATCTCCATGCTCAGTGGCCTATACGTACATGCTGTGCCTCACAAGATGGTAGATACGTTGCCGTGGCAGGCCGGCGCGGCCTGGCACATTATAGCGTTCATAGTAATAGATGGAAGACTTTCGATGATCCAAAGGTTGAAAATTCTTTCGCTATTCAAGGAGGCATGTGTTGGTATGGTCACATTCTCATTGTCGCAGTTGAGGGTGATTCTTCATACGAGGTATGCAAACTACTTTACTCGCTGGTCAAAACTCGAAGCTAATTAGAGATAGTTGCGGATGTACTCTCGTGAGCTCCCTCTGAATAATTCTTCGATACTCTATTCAGAACCTTTACCGGCCCCCGCAGTATTTATTGGGCCTTCAGGCGAGGACTCTCTCTTGGTGTACACCTATGATAATATACTATACCATTATGTTATAAATGCTGTTGGGACAAGAATTAGCCTGGTTCAAGTCGGGCAGATAACTTTCAATGGAATCGTGAGAGCACCGGCTCGTGTTCGTGCTATTAGTTGGATTCTGCCTGAAGACCAACTTCGTATGTCACCCCCTCATTCATTTCCTTTATCTAGAATTTCTCTAATGCATTAATTTAGGCGATGGAGACCCGTCTCAGGACGTTGCTGTAGCATCGGTTCTATTCCTTGTCGACGGGAAATTGGTTTTGCTTCAACCATCGGTATCTCCAAACGGAGCATTGAAATATGACATGCGCGTGGTTGCCCATGATGTCGAGTATTACATCCTCATGCGTGACCAACTCTCGTTCAATTTTGCGCCTCCGAACGACGAGCCCACATCGGGTGGTCAAACTCCGGAAATCACGCCTAACAATTCCTCTTCGGATATCTCACTGAGGGACTCCTTATGGGTCTTTGGTGGGAAGGACCTGTTTGTCTGGAGTGACATGCAAGATGTACTTCGCCCAACAGGTCGATCTATTGAAGGGCCGAAGAACTTGCCTATCCCTACTGATTTTTACCCTGTTTCCATACTGCTGAATAAAGGTATAGTTCTTGGTATTGAACCGGAAATTACTCAAAGGCGTGATGTTACATTTACCTTATTGAGGTTTGCTATTAGAGTAAGTTCTTTGCCGTCAAATTCAAATACTCTAGCTGCCTTTATACTAATGTGTATAGACCCAACTTTTCCTTCCATATGTTCTACAACACAACTTATCCTACTTTGACACACCGTCGGCTCTTTCAATCTGCCACCATTTCTCACACCTGTCATACTTCCCCCATGCTCTGGAGATTCTACTGCATCACGTCTTAGACGAGGCTGTAGATGACCATAGCATAGGAGACATAATCGAGACCCCTGTGAAGGGAAAGCAATTACTACCTGGTGTACTGGCATTTCTCCAAGCTGCCAATCCACCCGAATTATACCTTGATATCCTTGTTCAATGTATCCGAAAAACAGAGCTACGATCGTGGCGAACTCTTTTCGCTTACCTCCCTCCCCCCAACGAGCTATTTGAACAAGCGCTTAAGTTTAACTCGCTGAAAACGGCCGGAGGCTACCTACTTGTATTGCAGGCCTTTGATGACGTCGATGACGAAGATAGCGGGGATGGATTTGACAAAATTGAAGATTCGGCTGTCCGTCTCTTGCGGTTGGCATCACAACGAGGAGACTGGGAACTATGCGGCGAGATTGCACAATTCCTCATTGCACTAGATGGTTCCGGCAAGGTGTTGAAGCGGGCTGTTGTAAGAGTAGGCTTGAGAAGGGATGGTCCTGGCAGCCCGGTTGATATTGATGAAGGTCCCGTTCCCCGTTTTGGAATGCTAGACATCGGCCCGTGATTTTGGCATAGAGTTGCTCTTTGCAAAGCTCAAATGCTGAGATGAGGGTCAATTTTTACACACACAGATCACGCATTCGTATCGTTGGTGGATTTCCCCTTATATGACAGCCTCCCACGAATACACTCCATTTACACCAAGATAAGGGAGATACCCGGCCATTTCTACGAAACTCAAACGACTTGTATATAATAGAATTGATGAAGCTTATATAGCTCGTTGACAGAACCTAGACCTGCCCAACACAAATGCACCCAGACCGGCAACCAAATATTGATCAATACAGGGGAAGAGGCGCCTATACATCCACCTTTGGCTATAAAAAAATGAAAATGTTAATCAAAGTTCAGCCTCCAGAGTCCATCGCCCAAATAATGACCCTCATCCATGACGACGCCTTTACCCTTCTTCTTAATTTCCTCGGTTCCCACCTTAAGCTCGCCAACCATGCATATTTCTTCCTTTCCTTCTGCCTTAATGCCCACTATTGTGCCGGTCTCTAGCGCATGTTCCGCATCAGGTAGCTTGCCGCCTGCGGATGTGAGACCAGGAGCCATCAATGTAGCACCTGATAAAACAAATCTAATAGCTCCTCTGTCGATTCCAACTGTAGGCATGGCATCGGGGAACGCATGGAGAACTCGCAGGTGGGGGATTAGCGGGCTGTCCATGGACTGGAAGAAAACAGGCTTGGAGTCTGCGATGTAGAGGGTTACTCGGTCCGGGCTATTAAAAAACAAGAGGTCAGCCATGCTGTTTATATCCAGGTGTCTGACGGGAAGAATGGCGTACAGCTTCATGGCTTCTAAAGAAGCCTTTTTTGGTAGAACTTCATCGATATATGGCTCGAACCCCGGATGGGTCTCTAGGAATTTGGCCCGTAACGATCTTTGCACTGATGACTTTACTTTTGATCGTGCGCCCGCAGATATACTAAGTCAACCATCTTGTCAGCTATTGAATAGTCCCAAGGCGATAGCTACAGAATATAAAATTGACCCCGCGCATCTCCAACACCGCGGGGTAGCTATTGCAGATGGTAGTGTAGCATATTTCTCTTCACTAAAACTCTGGAATCCGTAGGAGACCACGTACTCTTTCTTAAACATCTTTATTATCGTTTGTAGAAGGATTTGATATGTATCAAATTGTGGGAGAAATATTCATGGAAAGCTTTGGTTGCTTTAAAACTCGTTGATAGAATTAGTCACATGATGCAATTTTCGAGGTCGCGATGTTGCGTACTTGCTGGATGGAAGTCAGAGAAGAAAAGAATTACATATTAAACAAGCTCATAAGCTTTGTATTATTTATTTATCTCATTATTTTCGCACGTTGATTCCCTCGACTAGTATTGTTATTACTACAGTCTGCAGCACTTAGATCTCTAAGGCTGGGGGAGGGCTAAGTACGCAATTCATATGGCACAACTATGCCTTGGCCGCACCGGCTTTGATCAGGACGATATCTCCATCCTCGATCACATAATCTTTACCCTTGGTGAGGACTTTACCGGCTGCTCTGACGGCCGCTTCGTCGCCGCACTCTTTTAGTACATCAAAGTTAAAAACAAGACACTGGATAAAGGTCTTTTCAAAATCTAAAGGCACAACACTGTTAGTTACCCGTCACGTCGATCGAGGGTAGTGTGGTATGGTATGGACGTACCTGTGTGAATGACACCAGCGGCCTGGGGGGCCTTGGTACCTTTGCGGATAGTCCACTGTCGAACTTCATCCGTACCAGTGGTGAAAAAGCTGCCCAGGTTAAGACTCTGTCGCATGGTGACAATAATCTTTGGCAAAGCAGACTTGGTGCCTAGCTTCTCACATTCTTCAGCGGCCGCAGCATCGTCTCCGAACTGCGTTAGACGCTCCTCAAAAGAAACTGAGAGAGGGATGATAGGGTCACCGGCGGAGTTAGTTTTAATCCATTCAGCAACCTTTGGAATATATTTATTCTTCTGGCGGATATAATCCTTTTCGCTGAGGTTGACTAGATAAACCACAGGTTTGGCAGTCAATAAAAAGAGTGGATTAATCACATCGACCTACAAAACCACTAGTTAGACGTTTTTCCAAATATAAAATAAGGTGGTAACGTAATGCAGTGATTGAATACGGATCAGCAATCAGCTTTGGATTTTATCTCACGAGGGCCTTTGGCCATTCGACGAGCTGGGTTAAATGTCGAGCGTTATAGCTCTTATTCATCATAGGAGATACCGTATTCATGCACGCAGGCGGGAGCAAAGGAGAAGAAGAGAAGGCTTACCTCTTTGGGGCCCCAGTCGCCCTTTCGAATATCGTTACCTTCTTTCAGGTAAGCGAGGACTCTGCCAACAATCTCCTCTTCTTCTTTGAGTTTTTTCATCTCTAGCGACTGGCCGCCTCGTCTGGTCTGCTTGGTCAAGGCGTCAAGGGCCTTTTCGACGAACTCAATATCCTTGATACGAAGTTCCTCGCTGATGATGTTTAAATCACGAACAGGGTCGACATCACCCTCTACGTGCACGATCTCAGCATCATCAAAGCATCGTACAACCTGGAAGATGGCATCCACGGCACGGATATGAGACAAGAAGGCGTTGCCAAGGCCAGCTCCTGTGGACGCTCCTCTGGTGAGACCAGCAATATCATACACTGTCAAGTTAGCCGGGACCTCTGACTTGGGCTTATAGTGCTTGCACAGCCAGTCATATCGTTCATCCGGAACAATAACTCGAGCCTGTTCAGGGTCAATTGTGGCATATGGGAAATTGGCAGGGTTTCCCAGTGTGGACTTGGTGATGGCTTGGAAAAGAGTAGATTTTCCAACATTAGCCAGACCAACCTGTGCGTGAAAACTCGTTAGCCACCAGAAACCAGGGAGTCAGAGCAGACGAGGCGAAAAGTGAGAACGACAGAACAGACCATGAGAAGGGTTCGCACATACTATACCGCTCTTCAGACTGTTGCCCGGCCGTCCGAGGAGGACCTTCTCCCGCTTGACTGGCTTCTTGGGCGGCATATTCTTCTTCCTGCTTGCGAAGCCGCGAGTGCTCACAAGCGACGGCGAAGATCTGAAGAGAAGAACTGTGAGAGAGCCAAAAGCAGGACCAGCTGCGAGTTGTGTCAAGGGCCGAGTGGGAGAAGAAGAGAAGAGCACCAGAGAGCGGGAGGGGGAGAAGAGAGGCTGCATAAATTTTGACGATGCTTTTTATATTTGTCACTTTTTTTCGCTGGTTTTTTTCTCTCTCGTTCTGTTTGGCCGGAAAAAAAAGTTTCCAAGGTTCGCGTTTTGCCCTAGAGGCGGAAAAGGGTTATTCCGACGGAAGTTAGCCGGCTTAGTAATGGCTTATCTCATCCTTCGACGTTTCAGTTTAACGACGACTATCAATATGCAGGAATGACTACCTTTTGTGACTTCTTTTCATTATATCCAGTAGCTTATGTTTTCATGTATTATTTGATTTACAATACTTTACGTAGCCTCTTTTGACGCAGATATAAGGAAAATGTGAGACAAGATACAAAACAAGACGACAAGAAGTACAATCTAAGAGAGTAGAGTACATAGTGCAGATAAGAGAGCCGTCCGCCGCCCCAGTTGAAAACAGCCCCAACCCTGAACTCCAAGCGGAAGACATGAAAAGGAAAAGAAAACCAACTTAAACATCCATGGTATCGTTGTCGTCTTGACTCTCGTCGAGTATACCCAGAAGTTGGGCATACGGCACAGTCACCCGCTGCAGGTCGCGATGTTTGCCTATACGATATTTAGCATTGAAAAAATGACACTGAAGACTTTGAGTAACATACCAAATGCTAGAATCACGTCCTTGAGGAGTGTTCGGCGGGGCCATCCGCACAGAGTTTCCGACTCGTTCACCCAGGACCTCTGTTCCGGTTGGCCGGGCTGACGGTTCTGTTTCGCCTTCTCATCACTGACTACTTGGTCCTCGAAGACACCACCAAGGATATCTTCCAGTAGCTCTTCGGCTTTGAGTTTGGCCCCTTCTGCACCCAGTCGTTTGGCGTACATGGAGAGGTACATTCGGAATTCCTCTTTAGCGGCAAGAGATAGAGTAGCTGCAACTCGGTTTTCAAGGTGAGCTATAGAGGCGGATGCTTCGAAACCCTCGAATCCTTCACGGGATAGAAGAACTTTGATGAGACGCTGTAGGAAGTGTCCGCGGCCTCGAGCGAGAACTTCTTGGGTGGTGTTACGTTCCAGGAACGGGACGATGCCAGCAGAGACGGGGGCTACGGCCTCTCCTTCTGTCTGGCCGCGGACTTGGACGTTGCCTACTGGTGCTTCGGTAGAGTTCCAATACTGACTTGCCACAGCCCACCATGGCTCGGATAATCGTTGCCAGGTATACAGGGATGGAGAGTAGCTGTAGCCGTCTCCCGTGGACAGACCGACGATTATACGGCCTTCGGAGCTGATTCGTGATGCGACTATGGATGGAACGGCAGTTGCATGGCCTGTCATGGTATGCAATGCTGCGTCCAGAACTGGCTGGAGTGAAATTGGGGGGTGGGGTGATGAAAGAGTACCGACATTCCACACGTAACACATTCCCACGGCAGTGATGCAAAGTACCCACGACTCCATGCACTCAAGCACAACTGCCTGTGATTCAAGTACGAGGGCGTTGATGAGACGTCGGCCAGCTGGTGTCCAGATATATATGGAGCCATCTTCCGACGCCGCAGCCCAGAGCTTCTTGTTGCCAGTAACAAGTATCACGGCCTTGGGGAGGTAATCCTGCCACAATGGCTGGTCCCCACGATTAAGACTGATTCGTACGGGTTCCTTATCAGCACTGCGTCCAGTCAAACTTGCTTGAGATGGATTCCGCGCCTCAAAGACAATATCAACTCTGGCCTTTGAGCCGTCCGATACATCCTTCGGGTTCCCGAGCGAGTCTATCCCTTGCAGGATATGGCTTCTTATTTTTGGAACTGCAAGGCGTAATTGACTGATGGCCATGCAGGGGTTGACCACCGCGGGCCTGATAAAACTGGGCGTTTCCTGCGGTCCACTGGGAGTGGGAACTGCGGGAACAAGTCCATCCGGAGTGTTTGAAAGAATAGGTATCACGCCGTTATCCCTTGCAGTGGCTACTCGTTTCTCTGCTGAGGCCTCTTCATCATCCTCTAGTTGAGAAAATTTCCGTCTATTGCCAAATAGCAACGCTGCCAGTCCGCCCTTTGGCAGACCATCGAATGGTTTAGACAAGTCCAGTACCGATTGAGGTCCGTCTGACGTGCCCTGGGTATTCATTGATGCAGCAACCAGTTTTGTCTGTGGAAGAGAGGACTGAGACCCAACTGCACCGGACACCAATAGAGGTGCAATGCGTTTCTTACCATCCTTGGTGTACGTTGGTCTTTGTTTCAACCGATCCAACTTCACCGCATACGGGTCTTGCTTTGGTTGGCCAGCCTCCGTCCCGTTCGTAGCCCCAGTTTTAGCCGTTTTATCAGCTTGAGTGTTTTTCTGGGCAGTGGTTACGGCTGCGGCAGTGTCCGCTTCTCCGCTGACCGTACTGTCAGTATCAGCTTGGCTATCCCCCATCAACGCTCCCATTCTGCCTTTTACTCCGCGCAATTCACCAGCCTTACTCTTCTCCTCAAGAAGCAAGCCGTCCGTGGACTCAACCATCCCCGCACCTCTTCGGTTTGTTCCAAATTTCGACAATGATTTCTCGTTCTCTTCTATGGGCATTGGATGGCCCAGTTCTGCGGTTTCAAACCGAACGGCAATGATGGCTCCGTCAAGGGCGGTTGCAAACAGATTATTTCCATCAGGACTCCATGCTAGGTCAGATATTGCCTTGACTGATATATCCTGCGCTATTACTATCGGTCGTGGGTTGCTGGTGATCCAAATACTTAGCGACTTATCCCCTCCCGCACATGCAATAACTGTCACCGCATTGTGGACTGGGTTTCCATGGCTATCAAGCATAGGCTTCTGAATTGGCTGGGGAGAGTAGAGCCGGGGTGCAAACGCGCAGACCTCAACTGGAGCCTCATGACCTATTAGGTTGATATCACTTTCCCATGAACCTCGATTGATGATTGCTACAGCGCTGACTGGACCATTGACAGCGTTGGCAGCGGCTATATGGTTGCCATCCGGGGACCAAGAGCATCTTCGGAAGTATGTGGTGAGCGGGGAGTTCACAAACGGGCTTTTAACTGTCTTTTCATGCACGAAGTTATGTGTCTGGTCGTGAGCTGTGGAGTTGGGTAAGGGGGAGTTGAAGCGGAATATCCGAACGGTCCGGTCATCACTAGCTGTAGCAAAGTATTTGTTTGCGGGGTCAAACGTGATTCCCTTGACATGGCTCTGGTGGTTCAGAAGTGTCTTTAGCTTCTCGAAAGTGTGGCCTGACCACACTACGACCTTAGAATCCAGGCCTACTGAGACTAGAATAGAAGAGTCGTAGGACCATCCTAAGTCCTGGATATCATTATCATGACCAATTAAACGACGAATAGTACGCCAGTTTTCCACGGGAGGAGGTTCATTGGATCCTACATCAAAGCCAACAAATTAGTCTGAGGCCTTTTTGGTGTTGGCGATGAGTGTCCGTACCAAATGCAGTTGCATGAGCTGTGGCATTCGCTTCCTGAGTGTATACGCAAACAATCTTATCGTCCGCCCCAGAAGCCAAGTATTTCCCATTCGGCGAGAAGCGAACCGTATGAATCGTTCCGGAGTGATTGCTCATAGAAGCTAGCTGCTTAGGCTTATCCTCGTACGCTGGATCGCCCGCATTATATATCGCCTCCGTAGACCATATTCGAACATATCCATCTATCCATCGTGCGCATAACCAGTCAGCCTTCCTCTGCATAAAAGAGAGAGCAAAAAGGCCGCGAATTCCAACATATCAAACGTCCGAGTGCAGGGCGAGGAGCAAAGTGGCCTTTGTGTTGTGGTAAATGGTTGTGGCAGCTCACCTCCGGCAGCAGTAACCAGTCTCTTCCCGTCTGGTGAAACGTCGCAGCTGTATACTTCGAAATCTTTCCGTTCGCCTATTTAACCACAACTCCGGCAGTCGCGGAGAAAAATAGTCAGTAAATGTTCGGTTTCTAGTATCGTCGAGTTTTCTTGATAAGGAATGAAGCGAGCCCAGACCTCCATGCGTGAGCCAAACCGGCTTTATGATACGCATTTCAATTATGACCGTGGATTTCCCCTCGTGCTTATCCTGGTAGATTCCAGCCTCGCGAGTCCGCGGGCAGAGGAGAGGCAGAGAATGGGACGTTGTTTGGAGAGAGTTCGGGTGTTTTGTTTTAACTAGACTGGTTCTCGCGTGAGAAGCGCGAGCATAGCTCCAAAGCTGAAGAAGCTTCACCAAGGCAATTAAGCGAACGGGACAGCCCTTGCATTACCTGCGCAAGGCAAGGTAGGGACACAAGGAAAGCGAACCAGCTTCGGCGAGGCGAGGCCGGAGGAGTGTCAGTGTACGTAGTTCGAGGAGTAGTTTGCTATCTCGATCAATATCTAATTGTCCACTTGGGAGTTTCGACGTTTGGGCTGCTTCATGTGACGAGGCGGCTTAGGTCAGCAGGCAGTGAGCATAAAGCTACAGCTCAGGGGTAAAAGAGGGAGATAATGTTGAAGAGAGATGGCTATGTGCATTTATTCGTGGAATCTATCTAGTTGCCATGATATATTAAACATTATAAGATCTATAAAGTGGTATCAATACTGGAGAAGCGAATTCAAAGCTGGCAAGGGTTCAAAGACTCTCTTCGCGTCCTCTCACGGAGAAAGGTAAAAGAAGCGGTGTTTAAAGAAGAACGGATTCATGAGGAGGTTTTGAGGCTAGCAGGCTGTTTTATAGCGGAGGTAACAGCTACCTTAGCCTCCCTGGTCTTCATCTCTTCGATCTCAGACTCTTCGGCCTCGGATCTTTCGTCCTTTGCGATGTTGTGTACGACAAAGCGATAGGCAATGCGCACAAGTAAGAAAAGCCAGAAGATGTTGAGAGCCTGGAGAGCAACCAGCAGGACAAGGAAGAAGATTTTGGTGGAGGTGCATTTAAACTGGCCTGCTTCCCAGTCGAACTCGGTAGGGCCAACGGTATCAAACTCGTTGAAGAGAGAGAATATGATGCGTAGATTCAAGTAGTTGCGCATGTAGATCCAGGTGCCGATAGTGGCACCGACGAAAGGCCCTACCAGAGGGCTGTCGATGTAGTTCAGTGCCTTGGATGACTATAAGGGCATCCGTGTTAGAAGAGGTGCGTCATTCATGAAAGAACTATTATATGCTGGGAGCAAAGTTGGAGACTTACGGCAAGGAAAAAATCGCTGATGTCGTGGGTGATGTACACTGCGATTCCGACATAAGTGAAATGGAAGCGATAACTTAGGGCAATGAGGGCCAGAGTAACGATGTGATGCGTAACGAGCTCTCTAAAATCCTTCCGTCTCTTCTCCATTCCGAGTAGCATGACTACGGCCTGCTGCGCCCAATAGGCCGCCTGGAACAAGTAGTAGAATTTGAAGCCAGCGTCGTGCGTCAGATGAGGAGCAGCCTCGTACATTCCGCGGGTATTGAAGTACCAGACTGGGGACGTGCTCATCACATACAGTCCCGCCGGCCCCATTATGCCAAAATACAGGGCTGTATAGGTCTGTTCCATGAACCGCAGCCGTTTCCCCCGCGATTTCAGCCCGTAGAAGATAGCCAAGGGGCGCAATAACTCCTGCATGATGAACTCGCGCGTAACAGAGAGAACGATGGTATAAAAGGTAACGAACGCGATATCCCACAGCCCCTTGCCATATTGTACCGGTTTCATGGGATCTGATAATCGGTGTTGTTGTTGTTTGTATGAGAGAAATATGAAATGATGAAAGACATTAGATTCAGTTGGATTAAGGCCGTATAAGAAAAGAATGGCGAGCATGGGGACGAGAGGGACCGTCCATGTATGCCTGACGACAAGCTGCTTGCAGCGATGCAGCAGAGAAGGCGTCGTCCCCCTGAGCCTGCATAGCTTCCTCTCCTCGATGGACTGTAGTATATGGCTGCTGGAAGGGCTGGTGAGCGTCCGTCGTCTGCGTGTAATGCCTGTCCCGTTCGTCACTGAAGATATCCGGTTGGTAGGAATGTGGAAGAGCGTCGTCGACGAAGGAGAAGCCATTATTTCCTACGGACGGTTGGTGTGCCTGGGGCCAGGATAACTAACAGCTGCCGCCGATGACGTTCGCTTCGGAGATTTCCCTCCTGGCTCGAGGCTGGATGTACGGAGCAGCAGGGGGCACGCAATCGCGGTACATGCAGCTAAGGGCGTAGGGAAGTATTTCGGGCGTGCGGTATAAGGGATGCGGCGGTGGTAAAAGCGAGTGTGTCGACGCCTGAATGAGTGATGAGGCGACCAAGAACGAGCGAGCGATGGGTCTCTCTAATGGATGGAGATGAAGAGTTTTACCCTGTCTCGACAGGAAGAAATGAATCCAGCGGATATCACTCCAGCGGTCGACGGGAAGTATAGAGACACGCTCAGGGGTAAATAAACGTCCCGCCAGTAAATTGGTTGACTAAACGAGCGGGCAGCCCCTTTTTCTTGCTACCGATAAGGCCCCTGCGCAAAGGGCATCGAGGTAGCGGCTGGGACGAACGAGAGGACGTCAAGACTGACAATGACAAGCAAGAAGATGAAGAAGAGTTAAACTCCCATTTCTTCCTTTCGTCTCTTCTCTTCTTCTTCTTCATCTTCATCTTCTATTTTTCATCTTCTCTTCAAGCCTTTTTTTAACTTTTCGACGGGAAAAAGTCACGTGGAAGCCATGGCTTTCGGCAATTTTTATAGGAAAAAATGGACGAGAAGACGACGAAGACGATGAAGATGAAGGAGGAGGGAAGAGAAGAGGCGATAAGGAAGAAAAGAGAAGCAAAAGATGTGCAGAGCTGGTACGGAGATTTTCGGGTTCGAAGTCTCTCCGCAGAACTTGCAGTCACACTCAAGTGATCCGTATAAAACTACCTACAGCCATGACTCTATATTTGTGGCTCCGGCAGCTCTCGACGAACCGGCGGTCAGGCGAAAAGCGAGGCCTCCTGCAGCAGTTCGCCAGCAGTTCGCCCGCAGCATCTGACTGCCAACTGCCAGATGCTTCCCAACAGCGAACCAGCGCCGGAGCAAGGGTCGACAGGCGCCCTTGCCTTGAGCTTTAGGGGTTACTTAAGCAAGTCAGCCGTGGGGCTTGTCTGGTGCTGGAGCCGGCGCCTCTCGGAGAAAAGTCGGCATTCACCTTTTTCTTCGGCCGTTTTCGAAAGCAACTTACCTAGGCACGAGTTAGGCAGTTAGTTAACAGAGGACAAGCAGAGTTTTCTCTTCTCTTGTGGTTGTATTCGCTGGTTTTTCTCTGTAAAAGCGCTCATTTCGATAGCAACAACAACACACACACTGACAGCGCAGCTGATTTATTCGGGAGGCTCGCCTATTATGACCAGCGCCCGTTTCCTGGACAGTGATACTTGCGCCTTTCACCATAGACCATAGAGCTCATCGTCTCGTCGTCTCATCGTCTTGTCTTCTCTAGCCACGGAGCTGATTGCAGATTTCCCTAGAACTCGATAACCAGGAAAGAACCCCTGTATCAACGTAAGTAGGCTGCTCCATCTCGGAGACAAGACCCTCGGTTTGCATATGTATGCATATATATGGCTGACCGGCCAGCAGGAAACGTCCACTTCGCTAGCTAGCCACCATGATTTTCACTCGCGGCATCAGTCTGACCAACTTCTTCGTCGCTTCCTCCGCCCTGGGCTTCCAGGTCTTCGTCCTATACCCGTGGCACAAACAGCTCGACGATGCTTTCGAGGACCTCAAAAAGGAACACCTGCGGGTTCTGAAGAGCGAGGCTTCCCGGATAGATGAGCTGAAGAAGCTCCAGGACCAGCTTGTCGAGCTTCAGGCGAAGCGGAAGCAGTGGTGGGCTTGAACAATACAACACACACCACACACCACATCACACATGAGAAACCATGGAGGATGGCGATACACTTTGGTTCTCTCGCTGGTTGTGCTTTTAACGCAATTTTTACCTGGTCTATAGATGGTCTGGTTCGGATAGAGGTCAGCTTTTAATACATATAAACACGTCACATAACTATACAACCCACATTCCATCTGCATTCTATCTTCTTTCTACCCACGTCCAAACAATTCATGATTAAGATGTAGCTTGGTAGGTATCATGTAGGACAAAGACACGCATAGTAAACATTGCAGGTAAACTCTCTGACGCAATCTAGACCTTACCTGCCACCACTTGGTAGCCAGACACTTGCTCGGCAGACAGCCACTGCTGGTTGAATATCGAGTCCGCTTCGTGCGGCGTCAGAATAAGCATCCGCCGCCCGAAGCTTGTTGCAGCAACGAATTGCCCTTTGGAGTATGTTTGCATCTAGTCTCCCCTGTCGATAACGAGCCAAACAAACATCTACTTTACTACTACGTGGACTTACAATCAAATTAAAACTGAAGTTGGATTCGGTTAGACGGATCATAATAACTAACTTATCCAGTTAACTAGTTGCCTGCGACAATTCCGCGATGCTTTGCATTTAACATAACTGCTAATGTGTAATACCTCCAATACTCATCACACTGGCCCCTAATACATTAAAGAAGCTTAGAAGATACCGACCAAACCCGATCCCTTACCGCCTAACCTCCCATATGAATGAACAGTGAAACAAAAAAAAAAAAAAAAAAAAAAGGAATTTTTCAGAAAGAGTTAAGAGATCTAGGTCAAGTCAGCCTCAGTTCCGACTCAGATGTTGCGTCCGCGGATTGAATGCTCGAAGGTTTGGATACATTCCTGGCTTCATAAGTTATGTACTTGGACACCATCACCCCCTTCTTGTCCAAGTCTACAAACTCGATACCGTTCGGTGTTGCGGATGCAACCGTCGTTGTGGTATGGTAGCTATTGAGAATTCCACCCCCGCCATCATTTGGATACCGGTTGTCAGCTCGCCGTCCACGGGAGTTGGAGTAGCCAGAAGCAGTCCCTCGTTGGGAAGACCATGTACTCATAATGTTAGGGAGGTAGCGTGCGAAAAGTGGTTTGAGAGAGGCAAGCGAAGCAGCGATCTGGTTGGCGATTGTTAGCTATATAGGTCCTCATAATCGCGGCTGGGGCCAGGTTTAGACATACAACGCCGAGGTACAGCTCGATAGTGCCTGAAATCCAGACAGGATAGGACGCCCAGGTTTTGTCATGTGAGATATTATACTTATAAAGAAAGTAGATTTTGAAGGTCCCAGCAATACAGACTGCGAATCCAGCACCAAAAAGGAGGGCTAAGATGATACGCTGCCTATACGGCAACTTGAGGCCCATGACAGTGGGTATCGGTAAGACAACGACTAAGAGGTCCGTGACTATATTTATTATTGTACCTGCTAGGAGGTGTGCCGTTTCGTTGATGCACTCCTGGGGCTTGAAGCTTAGAGTCCAGTAGGCTGAGACCGGGCTAGACTCGACACAAGTTAGCGGCTGGCTATCGTGACCCTATATACGGGGTTGTATATCAATTCATATATCAATCAGGGCAAACTATACCGACAAGTGAAGATAACCACAATGCAGAATATGATCACCTGGAGCGCAACAATAACTATAGAACTAAAAACAAGCCACTTCATGATGACTGAATTTGTTCCAGCGGTCAACTTCCGGGTAAAGCAGAGAAGGGAGAGCTTGGTAAGAGCGCAGCTGATGCCAAAGAGGCAGTCTATGGCCATATTGAGCTTCAAGCCTAGAACAATATGGCTTAATGGGACGTCGTAGACATGTCGACTCCAGCCGAACTTGATTGTGCCTATAACAGTAATCACACCGCAGGCAATGGCGGGGATTGTAGCACCAACTATAAGTATATCATCCACACCAAAACTTTTTGATATTCGGATACGAGTGAACAGGCGTAGCATAACGATGAAGGCGGTCAGGGGAACGAATATAACCGTCAGTATGATTAATCCAGGCCCCCGAACTTCTGATGGATTCTCATAGTTCGGGTGAGGCCAGGATTTAATCACCGACATTGGAGGGACCTGCATGTTGACCGATGTGCTGCTGGGTTTGGGTGAAAACACCACAATCACATACTCGTCCTGTAGAGTAGGTGAAAGATAGAACCGTGGCGCCAGTGCATGAATGCAACCAGGCCACTCTCAACTATATGAACGAGGAGAGCACAACGAAAAGAGGGAGGCTCTTTAACAGTGGAGATTCATACGGTTGATCGGGACAAGTATCACCAATGAAATCCACAAGTACCTAGTGTCAATAGCTGCAGAGTGCTAGTTTCATGGATATTTCACGGAACATCGGGCGAAAAGCTAGACGCCGGACGAGAGGATCATATTTGGCATCAACTGTCCCTGGATGGCCAAGAGAGCATCTGTAGTCTTAAAATGTCGATTAAGACAACTATTATCTCAACAATGACTGTTACCATTTCCCCCCGCCTCTTGTCAATAACACAAGCTCTCAACAAGATATTAGCCATGGTTCGAAGTGGGTTCTAGCCGTGCTAAAAACCCAGAAACGCACCCATGGGCTGCTGTGGGACCAGGTACCAATAGTTACGGAGTTAGCCCCATTCATGGGAAGGGGAGCCAACCAAGAATCCCTCAGATGTAGTAGCATGTAAGCAGTGACAATGGGACACCTACTGCAGCTGAAGGTACTCCTTGAACTGCCAGCATGTCTCCCCAAGAGGCTGGATGAGATAGCGTGATGTGCTTAGGAAAGAATTGACGGCACTCTCCCTACCAAGGTCACAGCTTCTTTCCCATGATATGTAAATATGGTCGTCGGTAGCAGTCATCCGTCGATGATATGGATGAAGCGGTCAATCCGTGGCTCTGATATTACAGGAAATGGGTATTATTTCCCTTTCTCTAGAATGATGCTTTTCTCATGGACCCAGAGCAAGCCGTCTCCTGACAGAAATAAGTAAAAGTGTCCAGAATGCTGATTCGAGATCAAAACGGAGAACCGGCAGAGGAACGGGGATGATCGGGTGAGAAGATGCGGTACGTATATAAAATGCCCTAGCTTTCTTGACTTCTCTAATTAAATGGTCGTCAAGGTGGAGAGGAGAATTAATATGCAGCCTGCATTCAGTCGGTTTGTGCCAACAATTTCAGGGCCTCGTAGTAACAGTGTGCTTCTGCACATGTTCGGAAAAACTTCACGAGAGATACTTGCTGGTGGCGGACTTGCAACTTGCACACTTTCTCGACAGGATCTTTCTCCATATTGAAAGAGAATATTGGTCATCATAAAATTGCCCTGCGCCTTTGACGATCCTTGTCTTAAATTGGCCCTTGAAGTCTTAAGAGGGGATGTATGACATGCATTGACTGGGGCCAAAGCAGCCCATTCCCCCGAGAAGACCATAGAGTTTGTACTGGGTGTATGCTGATATCATCCGAGAGATCAGGTGGCTACTCAGGTACCTGGCTAGTAATAAGCGGTGTATGCAAGTGACAGATGGTGGGCCGAGGTAGCTTTCTATATATAATCGACTGACCTCGTCTTCCAGGCAAATGTAGTAAAGAGCTGCCTTCTTCCGTCAGCGAATCGACTAGATATGTAGTAGCTGTGGGGGCGCAATAACCAGAAAGCCGCTGCTCTAATGCCTTGGTAGTGATGAGGATGGAAGGAATTTGCGGTTCTGAATTGGCGCTATTCGTCTGTGACAATTGTCCGTTGATATTCAATCCTTGAAGAGAAGATACGGCCAACATGCACCTCTTGCGGTCAGTTCATGAGGTGACTATCATGCTGCGTCTTTGATAATAAAACACTTTATACGGGATATTATTCAGTAACGATTTTGAAAGGTTTTCACTGGCAACTGTCCAAGCATAGTTAAGGTAACATCAGAACTCTGTAATTGCTGTGCGAAAGGTTTCCAGATCTCTACCCCGTGAGCTCATGTGAATAATAGCTGGGCATGCTAGGGAGCTCATATCGCATGAGTTACCCTGCTGTGCTCAAGATATCCTCACGAAGACTTATCTGAATAGATTTAGAAAATATAGCTGCTAGACATAGCTTCCAGCTAAAATAGCCTCTCAGGCTCTGGTCCTTGGGACAGAGTCAACGATATAACAAGCCTCCTGCGCAAATCAGCACGGGCTCTCCTTTTTGGCTCAGCCGTTTGACACTAACCAATGGATCCATTTTAGTGAGCTCACGTGACTGGTTAACGACGGGGCCTCGCTAATTTAGGAGGTATCGTTCATTCGGCTTTTGAGCACCATCTCGTCCTCGTTCTTACGATAGATACCTCTTTAGCACATTGAGCTCGTGACTCACTACGGCTCCCTAGAGTGCTGCTCTTCTATTGGAAGTATGGAGTTTGACTGCACAGTTAGCCAGAAACAGGAGCAAAAGTTCGCTGCTTGGCTGAAACTCTTTTTAAGCAAATAGCCTGAGATTCTATCGATGCAGGTTGCTTACCAGCACCGTCCTAGGAATCCGCGTTCTGCTTGTCGGTGGAAGGGTGGCGCCTTCAACATATATTATCGCGTTAGGTATGAAGATGGAGTTCATCTAATCGTTCGTTTCGCTGCCCTCGGGAAAGCTATACTTCGCCAGGAGAAGGTAAAACAAGAAGTCGCAACGATGAACAATCTTCGGCACAACACCTCCATCCCTGTTCCTGAAGTCCTGGGTTCTGGTACTTGCTGGTCTGGTCCATATACTGTCATGCCGTTTGTTGAAGGGGTGCCTCTATCTGAGCTTCTTGAAGAAACTTCTAAAGAAGTGAGCCCTGTTTTAAATACCCAGCTAAGCGATCGGAGTCTGAAGAGAGCATATCACGAGATGGCTACTCTTGTCCTTGAACTTTCGAAACCCAAGTTTGATACCATTGGTGCACCAATGAAGAATGAAGGAAGTTTCAGCGTTGGCGGTCGACCTGTTACATTTAGCATGAACGAGCTGATGTTGTCCGCAATATACATGAAAGCAATTTCCCCATACGCACCTTTAGGTCAGCTACGGACTACTTCAAATCTCTTGCCATGGAACATATACCCCACCTCCGCTTGCAAAAGGATGATTGCAGGAAGATATTTGCAGCTCTATATCTATTTTTAAAGGTCCTCAACGAACTTTCAACCAAATCTGACGAAGGGTCATTTAGGCTATATTGCGATGACACGCCTTTCCAATGTCCTCATTGATATTGAAAAGTTTTGTGTTTCGGGAGCCATCGACTGGGAGTTTACATACGTTGCTCCAGCTGAATTCTCGTATGTAGCACCCTGATGACTTTTGCTCGTAAGCTCGGAGGGCTGGGAATCCGATCTTAATCAATTCATAGCTCTCTACACATCCTGTTTTCGATTATTCCTAGAAGCACTTAGAGAGAGTGAAGACAAGATGATCGAGCTGCAAACCCTCACGGAACAACGGCGCCTTTCTCCTCAAATGGAACACTCTATGGAGACGGGCCTATTTTGGGTCTGTTTAGCTGCGCGGCGTAGCTCTATGTTTAATGAAATTTACTAGGCCTTTATCGACGAAAAACACCATGGGCCATTCACATCGATTGATGACCGTGTTCAAAATTTATCGGATAAGCATAAGGATGAAATAAACGACCTTTTCACGCTCAAAATGTCTCGATTTAATGAGGATAGTGTGAAAGGATTTGATGACCACTATCCTATCGACGAGCTCCTTATGATCTAGCCTTAAGTTGTCTCTCACATTCTGCGTATTTATATGTCAATTGGTATACTGATACTATAGGGGGTTAGGGCTTTACATCAGCCCATGAGGTAAGTTAAATCTACTTGATATCACTATGTAGATATCCTCGCGGCTCGAACTATTTCAGCGCTGGGCTGGCTCCGTCAAGCCATATTGATGAAATAGTATTTACGGCCAAAAGTATCAAAGGAAGCGGAGGAAAGAGTGGTGGGTTGTAGGCTCCTCTTCCCCTCTAACTTCTGTACTAACACAGCTTCTCTCTCCATGCTTTATCTTATATTTCCCTCCTATCGCCTTATTTGCTTATACATTTAAGACTATATATTTTGAGTTTTTTCTTTAAATTTTAAGCCGCTAACCTTAAATGTTTGAGCCTAAATTTTATCACGTGATTACTGTGTTGTATATCACGTGATAGATTTTCCGGCGATTAGCCATTTTTTAGAACCTGCAAGATTGTATCTCCATACTTTTTTTTTTTGGCTTCACAACAAAATAACTACATCTGCTGTTGTTTTTCTTATTACCATATTCGCGCTGTGTGAGGCGTAATTACGCCTATCACTCCCTTTTTTTCCTTACCCGCCGATCAAAATACCGAATGCTCAGGGCGCTATGGCATTAGGCTGCCCCAGAAGTAGCTTCTCAACATCGTGAGAGGTACCTAGCTGATTAGCAAGTATGGAGGACCGCATTCCCGACACTCCTATACGGAATATGGCTGCAGCGCGCAGAGCTTTGAATGTCGATCCTGATCCTGTCTCTGATACCCGTGAGACTTTGGAACACGACACAGTTGCCACAGTTCCTATCAACGGCGAGCACTCCATCCTTGCGCCTACGCAACCAACCCAACTATTGACCCAACCCACCCAAATAATTCAGCCTCCAAATCGTCTTAAAGCTTCCCCTCAACGTGAATCTGTGGTACAAGTAGCCGGTTCGTCTCCTCTTGGGCCTTCGGTATCGGGTACAAACAGGAATTTTTCAGCTTCCATTGCACCGCCAGGAACCCATTTTCGTCCTCCCGCCTTTTCAACCGGCCCAGTTAGGCGGACACCAGTCATAGACCTTAGCGAAGACGATGGCCCTACCTATTGCGGGGGATCTTCAGATGATGATTTCTCTACCGTGCGGACCACAGATATAAGACCATCTACCTTTGCGAAAACAGCCCATAGTCCCGAAAAAGATGGATATATCTCATCACCCGTTTCAGCATCGGGAAACTCTCTGGCCAAATTTCGTGAAATTACTGCTGCAGCGTTCTATAGTTCAGATGGCAATAAAGGCCAAAAACGATCCGCAGAGAATGCGAATATAACGAAAACTGGTGCTTCGGAAGTGGGGAATAAACGAAATAGAACAGCATCTACAGCCTCGGACGGCCAGGGTTTTTCACTGAACCAAATAGACGATTTCACTCTAAGGACGAAGGTTCAGAGGTTATGCTCGGTATACCCTAATAAATCCGTTCGATTTTGTTTAGATACTCTCATGCAGCATCGTGGAAATTACCAAAATGCTTTGGAGTACATTGCGAACTTGGAAGAAAAA